ACAGAGAGCTCCTGAATTCTCAGTTCTTCATGTTCCTAAATGCTTCTCAATGCATTTGTTGATCTCCTTTTCAATGTAATTTTTTTCTGGAAACCCTTATGCTACAAATGATCTACGCCGATTGATCTGACAGTAATACTGAGGAACAGTGCAAGTACGTTATGTGCTGGAGTAACAGAGGAATATTGTATAAATCAATTTTGTCTTCTAGAGGGAGTGCCGTCTTTCTGTGGAGATTGAACGTCAAATTGGGCAGATTTAACTTAGAGCAAAAGAAGAACCTTAACTGAATTGTGTAACAAGATATCATGTTACAGATACAAATATCCTGCACAGTTTTCTTAAATGTTGGCTTTTTTAAAAGGCAGAGGGGGATTAAAATGTTTTCTTAGAAGAAATTCTATATCTGTCCAGGGAAACAGGGCAAAGGTGGAGTCTTTAAAACTTTTAGAGTTGTATGAGGGAGAAATTACTTCATTAGTTTATGGCATTTAAATTATACTAGCATGTCTACCTCACCATTGCCTCACATTATCTCCGTTGTTGCTCTTTTCTCTCCCATATTAAGTGAAAAACCTCATCTCTGAACTGAGCTCTTTAAATACATACCTTTGAACATCCTCTTCTGCTATCCAGAAAATATGCTGCCTTGTATTTGGTTTATTTCTGAGGTCTTTTGTGGGTGAATTTAATTACATCAGTGACTTCTGAAACAATGTTACTGACATCACTGGAAATGCTTTACAGAATATAACTGCCAAGCTTAGTATTCCTTCTGCACATACTTGAATTGTTGGCTTATAAAATGGTAGCATACATTGACAGAAGTACTAGGATTTCCATTGACTTGTAAAGCCGTTTTTCATTTTCATGCTTTGTTGTTTGTAATCTTACAATGAATACTTCATCTCCTTTCCAAAAGCAGTTTGCTACATAATTGCAAGAAGGTGGTGTTTTTTCACTGAAAATAAGTGTCCAAAGAGGATCAAAATTTTAGAACCTAGAAATGGAATTGTTTCTTCTCATGCCTTATCAGTTCAATAAGAAAAAGAAGAAAATTATGACTGTTGGACAAACGTACTGCTCAAATATTCATGACTGACCTCTTACACCGTGAAACAAAAGATTCTGAGATTTTTTTTTTCCCAGTCCTGGAGGATTTTTAGTGTGTTTTCCTTGTGGGGAGAGAAAAAGAAAGGGGGGGATCAGGGTTTCCAAGGACCTTTTTGTTTAGCAGAAGTAGTATCTCAAAAACTTGTCTTTGATGCATTAAATTATATGATCGTCACTTGTTCCCTGATACTGCATGTATGCCATGTTTGACACAGTATTAAACCCCAAATTTGCAAAAAATGCTACAGCTTTAGTATTGTGTTCAAATACAGAAAGGTGGATCTGTGGTTCCTAGCTATTGGTGGCTATATTGTACCTGTAAGGACAGACTCCATATAGTGTGAACATCCAGAAGAGGAAGCTTTTCTCCCTCATACAAATAACAAGACTGAGTGTTACTGCCAAACAATTAATGTGAAAGATCAATAAAACTTGAAAATGGTGTTGAGTCTTCTCTAGTTTATTTCAACTCTCATCATTCCACCTGTCAAGACGAGCTGGATGTACAAGTTCTGCTGCTTATTCTTTTGAAAATTTTTCCACTCTCGTCTTGTTTGTGTGAATAATAGAAAAAAAATTCTCCTTTAACTCTGAGGCTCTGTGTTTGTTCTCAGACAAGCTGGATGGTTTGCGGACTGGCACTAAAAGGAAACGTGACTGGGAAGCAATTGCCAGCAGAATGGAAGATTATCTACAGCTTCCAGATGACTATGATACACGTGCTTCTGAACCTGGAAAGAAAAGGGTAATAAATTTTCAAATGACTTACTGTCTGTATATGATCATTTAGCAATCTCTGTGAAAAAGAGAGTTTGCATCAAGTCATTCAGTGTCTATGAATATGGCAATTTCACTGACTCACTTTTCATTTTGCTGTTCCATTAGATTCTGTAAGAGGACATCCTTGAGAGTAGGGTCTTCCAGAGGTAAACAGATTAATGATAACGAAGTGAGGAATTGTAGGTAATAAAGATCAACTACGCATGGCATGGCTTTTGAGATTGAGAATGGAATCATGTCCCGTTTCTTGCTAGGGGAGATGGTGCAACCATGGTTGCAACCAGAGCAACCCATAGAGTCCTTTTCTTATGCTGTATGTTTTGTGATGAGATAGTGTGATATACAGTGCAGATTCCAAGACAAGATGATGATTTTATTAAGCTATTTTTTTGTTAGGTTTTGTAATAAGTAGGCAGAGAAACAGTACACTGTTCTTACTTTCCTCAGATGAATCTTTTTGAACATATCAGCTACGTAGGTTTTATATCAATTAAGTCTTGTAGACATTACCTCCTGCATATACCTTGCATAAAGCTTGGGAGATAGTGTGTAAGAAGTTGGCTTCAACCACTTTATATGTAGTTCTGTTCTGAACACAAAATGCTACATCTTCAAAATACCATTGTGAGAAAAAGGGGAAAAAAATCATAGAGGAAGATGAAAGAGAGGTAATAGGAAGAGGTAATACTTTTTTTTTTTTTTTTGTCTCCAAATCAGAAAGACCAGCTTTTGCCACTAAAAGTAATTTGAGTTAACTACTGTTGTTTGGGCTTTGTTTTGTTTTGTAATGTCAGGTAGAAAACATGGGTAGTACTGGACAGCGTGCATGAGGGAAATGGAGATGCTAAGGCATTGGCAGAGGAAGTGATGGTGGAAGAAAGCAGACACTGCTTATCAGCAGGAAAAAAAAAAATGTCTGGGGAAATCCAGGTAGAAAGTGGAACAGGAAGGTGCTGGCAGAAAGGTGATAAGGCGATGTCCCCAAGTAACGAATCAGCCTGAATGGGACTAATCAGTTAGGATGTCAAGGAAGAGCTCCTTCACTTACAGTTGCAGGACAAGAAAAAACAGTGTGTTCCAGCTGAGTTTCTGGACTGTAGCCTCCCTCCTCCCTGTGGCACTCCCTCCCATCGGTGTCTGGGTTTTGTGGGTGAGGGAGAGACTGTATATGTTTGAACAGGATGAATGCAAGTGATCTACATGACCATGAAGAGCCACAGAGGATGGGAGATAACAAATGTGTGAAGAAGTTTAGTGTAAAGAAACAGTGGAAAGATTTAAATAGAAATGCATCACAGAAGATAGAGAGGAAAACTGTCCCTCGTTCATGCATTCATTGCTGAGTTGCTCTTTAATACTGTCTTTCTGTAGTTTCATAGTTGTCTTCTAGATGTTTCCATTGCGCAATTGAAAGACGGGTTGTACAGAAAATGAAGACACTAAGTGAATCTTTGATAATTCTTCCTGCAGAAAGCAGTGCTTTGAACAGAGAAATAATTGTAGTAATTACACTTGAGCTCTCAGAATTATAGCATTGAAATGGAAAAGGCTAATCATCTGTACCTTTCTTCCACTCCATGGAACACCTGGGAAGTTCAATTAAAAATAATGTAACTGGTGTAGTTTCCATCTTTACCCATCGGAAAACAAATTAATACTTACCTGTTGAAATGAAAATGAGTACAAATTGGAATTCGTGTATTCTTATCTGCAATGGAAAGCCTAGAGTTGTTTCAGGATTTTTTAAGAGATTGTCCTACTGATAGTATGTTCTCCATAGGTGCGATGGGCAGATCTAGAAGAAAAAAAAGATGCAGACAGGAAAAGGGCCATTGGTTTTGTTGTTGGACAAACAGACTGGGAGAAGATAACAGATGAAAGTGGTCATCTTGCTGAGAGAGCCCTCAACCGCACCAAGTATATATGAAAAAGTGGTTAAATGGGATTTTGTGCCTTTAAGGTAAGTATTCAGTCTTCCTGCATGTTTATAGCCTTGATGTTTTTTAGTTTTTTTTTTTAAGAGTTGAGGTTGCAGTTCATATCATTGTTAGAGTTCTCCCAGACAAGATTATTTGATTTGGAGCCTTGTATAATAGGTGTCAGCTGTGCCTGTGTCAGTGTGCACCTTCCTGTACAGCATCTAAAAATAAAAGGAGAAGGATTGTCAGCTATCAATCTCCAAACCTTATTAACAGAAAGATTATTTCTTCATTAAAAGAGTAGTTTAGCTGTGTGCCTAGTCCTGACTAGTTCAGATTTTGCTTACTACATCTTAACTCTGACTATGTTAATTGCTGTTTTACTTGGTGTAACAGACTTTTCCTTTCTTTACAGGCCATTTGCTCTGAGGAGAAGTGAACCAAGGTGTCATGAGCATCTTGCATGGGACATGTCACTCCCACCTTCACAGTTTTTCTTTGTTACTTTAGTTTCAGCAATTTTCTTGAGATGTTGGCAGATAACCAGTGCCCTCAAAAAAAACAACAAATCCCGCTGCTCCTAAGTGAGAGAGACAGTTTACTTTTTAATATTTTTGGAGGGGAGGGAGGGGGAGGGCCAGTAGTTTTAGCTGCTGTTTGTGGGATAAAGTGGAAAAATTAGACAGACGTTACCTCCACTGTACCGTCACAGAATGTTTATCACCTTTGCTTTGTGGCCGTTCTCGTTTTATACTGTATGTACCTTGTAGCTTATTGTATTAGGAAGCAGAACAATAAATTTCACTATAAACTCGGTGTTCTTGGTGGACCATATAGCATGGTTTTTGTTTGACATTTTAAATGTGGTCTGTGTTCACATGTTGACAGCGCTCAGAACCGTCCTTACCTGGAAGAGGTGCTGTGCTTATATTCTGGAATGTGTCCTGTCTTCTAGGTTTATCACCTGCTCTTCTTCTCATAGACAGCTCTATTAAGGCCCCAGGTTTTGCTGGCCTTTAGGAGTCATACTGTTCCCATTCTTCCTGGAGAGCAGGAATGATCGTTATTTTTTGGATCCTAGTTTCTCAATTATGTCAAATTTCCATTACTACGTGAGTATAAATTCTGTTGGATGGCTCTGAAATACTCAAGGTAGTAATGTATGAAAAACATTTCTTTAACGTGCAACTTGAAAACAGGTACTACAGAGTTCTCTGGAGGGCAGCCTAGAAAATTCATTTGGTCTTTTAGCCAACACTGATCCCTATCAGGGTATTTCATTCCATTCATAAGTCTATTGTCTCATAAAGAAACATCATTAAAAGAAGCAACAAAGACCAGAAGTTATACCTTTCTATTCCTTTAATAAATGTGTTTAGCTTGCTAAAAAAGAGAAATGAATAGCAGTCCACGCTATTAAATGTGGTACAAATTCTTCATAGATGCCGGTATATTGCTTTTGCACAGCATAGGCTTTGCTGATGAAAACTTTCTTTTGTTCTCTCAGGTTTTGAAGCAAAGGCTTCAAATTTTGTGTTAAGGCTTTGTGTGTTAACACAAGGCACTGTGTTTAACAATATTGTAAACAGGCAAGGTGTTTAAATCTGAAAATAATTGCTCTTTTACTGGTGAATTGAATTTTTTCTCCTGACCTTTCTGAGGGAAGAAAATGAAGTCCTGAATTTCCTTCTGTCCTATTCTTTGTTGCTGTGCTGAGTGATTACATTGTGATTTGCGTCTAGGTTGGTAAATCAACTAGTTCTGGTGTGGTGCTAGTTCATGCTGTTAAAGGAGAGCTGTGGTGCTAATAGATGGTTTTGTTTGCCATTCTGATGTTTTGGTTTATTGGATGTTTCTCAGCCTTGTCTGTGGTGCATGACTGAAAGCTCTTTGGTAAACGAGGGGAATAGCTGAACTTGTGTTATGCCCTGAATGTGTTTAATACAAGAAAATCAAGCTCCCTGAATGCAGCATTTTTAAAATGGAAGGTAATAAATATGCATTTTCTGTGTACACATGCTATTATGTAGCATATATACTTTCTTTTTTAAATGTTTCTAAGTACTCTTTGAATTCTGACTGAGAATTGTTGACAAAGGGAAACTAATAGTTAACAAGAAATCAGTATTGTGTATTGCTGTGGAAATCAGGCAAGCTTCGCTTCGGAGAAGTTACTCTCAGGTATGTGTAAAATGGGTTTCAGTCTATCTTCAGTTGTCCGTAACAAAACTAGAGTTCTTGTGGTACGCCATTGTTATGAGTTGATGCTGTTTCTTCACTTTTAAGAACTGATAATGGTTTTGTCTGTATTTTTGGTAATACACCAGAACGAGACCCTCTTCTAACATTTTTCTTTCCAGGCTAAATAATATTTCTGGAGCATGCAAATGGATAGCGTGTGACAGAATTGATCATATTGTTTACTGTTTTTAACAATTTTGAAAATTATTTTAGCAGATAACATGCAGAGGGGTCACACTGTTTATTCTGTGGTGCATGTAGAATTAAAGAGAGATGAGCAGAGAATACGCATAAAGTTATACTTTACTCCGATGAGAAAAGAGAATATGTATCAATCTTCAAGTTTAGGGCAAAATTTCAGTTATGAAAACATACTGTTGCAGATTCTTTGTTAGACTGTTTGATCAGAACAGGCTGAAGGGCTTGGGGCTTTTTGTTGTTGTTGTTTTCCTGGTTCCCTGAATTTCAGAACTTTTTCAGTTTCTGTAGTACAGAAATATCATTCCATAATCTTTGCCATTTGTTTCAGTTGGTTTGAATGTTAAGCAGGTCAGTCTTCATCTGCTTGATGGGAAGTGGCTCTCAAAGGAAATTAACTTATGCCAGAACTACAACCTGTAACAAATTCTACATACTCTAGTCCTTCAGTGAATGAAGAAATCAAGTAAAAAGGAAAAATTCATCATTGCTTACCATTTCTTATGGTGCTTCAGTTTTTCTCAAGATCGCCTGCTTTTTTAAGAGTATTGAAACTACCTGTCTCATGGTAGAAGTACATGAGCTTTGTGCAAGGGAATGTGCAACCTAAGACATACTGCTGCTATGTGAATAGAGCTTTGTTGTCACCTTGTGTTTTACTGTAGGATTACTCATTAAGCATGATGGTCTGACTATGGTATGAAAGAGTGAAAATATAGCATAGAATACTATATCAGTTCTGGAAATGTCATGGTTTTCTTTTTCTCAAAATGTTTACATCAACATAAACAACTTACCTTGCATTATTAGTTTCCAGTCTTTAGAAGGGAAGAATTGGTGAAGTTTCACTTTTCACCCATCAGGTTGGGTTTGGTATTTTTTGGACTTTGCTTCAGTCATCTTTGCAAACCCTGTGCATTAATTGTTCCTTGCCTGCCTGTTGGTAAACAAAATACAGCACTGTTATTGTCTGTTTCTAAGGTGTTTGTTTTAAGTGTTTTCTGAAGCCTTTTAATCTCTGAACAACCATTTAGATACCATGGAGATCCTGAGTCGGATTTCAGTAGTGGCTTTTATGAAAGGATTGAATTGGAAAATTGAAGAATCGTGATTTGCAAGTCACATTAGAAAGTATGCTTCCTGCAGAAGAATAGTCTGTCGTTAGTGTGCTTTTAAATGAGAGAGAAGAACACGACCTCACCAGCCAAAATCAGTTTTTCCCAATTTGAGATTTCAACATCATTGGAACACTCTGAGAATCCTTTTCAAAGGAATGCAGTAATTCAGCCTGTGGGACAGCTTGTTGCCATCTAAGCAAATTTATTGTTACCAGAAGAAAAAATATTCTTTGTCCGTTTATTTAATACAGCTGTCATGGTGAATTGTTTCGTGCCCTTCGGACACAATTTCTCTTAGCAGATTGTGCCATTTTATTATTGATATTGCTGCCACAAAATTTTGGAAACCCACACAATATTGGACAGACCTCGGGACTTGAAGAAAATGTGGTTGATCTGGGTTGGAGGCAAATTGTGCTTTTTGTTACGAAGTTCCTAATGTCTCTGCCAGCATGCAGCTAGCTAACTGTGAGTTGACTGAACTGAAACCCAGGAACTCTCTTGGAGTGTTGTAACTCGGCGTACGTGGACTGGAAAGGGGAAGCAGTACCGAGAGTTTTCTTTGCCTGTGGAACATTCACATGGTCTGCATCCTCAGGAAGCCAAATACTGATGGGTACATGGTTCCTTTTTATTGTGCCTCTCTTCGTTATTTGATGTTGCCCAGATTACTTCTGGGAAGTGAGGTCTCAATACTGAACTTGAGGTCCCCTGACAATTTGGGATCAAACTGTGCCAGGACAACCTGCATACTATGAGATAACGTATTTGAGGAGCAGAGGTGGCCATCTCAGTTGAGATCTGCACGTTTGCAGCGCAAACTATAAGTGGGTAAAAAGAAATTCAAGTTCTTACAACGTGGTGGTGTAAGACTGGTGGTACTTAGTTTTCTTATCATTGTAGAAATAAGAGAAAGAACAGAAATTTCCTAGAATTCGAAATATGAATGACACAATTCTCTCTCTATTTTGAGTCTCCAGGGCAATCATCTTTATTCTCTCATAAAACTTGAATCAAAGTTGTTTTCTCTTCTCCTGCTCATCCGTTCCTGCAGGTGTGAGTCAGAATCCTTCAACCAACTAAAGGAACACCGAGTAACTCTTCTGATTTCTGCTGAAGATTAGTCACTTTCTTCTTCATGGTGAAACTGTTTTGTTTCATTCTTACCAGTGGAGTGTTCCAGCAATTGCAGTGTTTCGTTCTACCACTTCCAAATTTACGTGGTATTGGATCTGCAGGCCGAAGCCTTAAATCTTCCTCATGCGTGTAGGTTGGAAAATTGGTAATGACAATATTTCATTCAGGTGGATTATCACTTTCTAGCTGATTAATACTGTTTGGAAGCAGAATGTGCTCTTTTATTCGTGGTTTTGCTTAAACCAGGTAAGCACAAGTACTGTTACCAAACAACAAGTACAGCAGGTTTCTGGAAATGGAGAGCCAGAAGTGTTTTGAAGTCGCTTATGTTTTCCATTCTGTGTTAGGTTTCTAGTCGGGAGGCCCTGGTCTCTTTGAGTTGTAGGATTTAAGATTTGAATATGCAAAACCTTAAAGCCACCTGGGTGGAAATGGCACGGTTTCATTTTTTTTCTAATATTTTTTCTGACTTGTTGAACTCTCAGATAGAATCTCTTTGGGAGGGTAGGCCTTGCCCTAGGGCTTGTGCTCTGGAGTATCAGTCATTCACATATTTCTCCGTACTGCTTCCTTTGTATGTGTGCACAGGGACAAAGTTTGTTTCTCTAACTGGTGAAGATACACATGTATGTATGGATGTTCAGCTTTACAGAAGAAATTTCTGATGCTTTTTACTAGGATTGCATCTGAACTGTCTGCAGTGACCAGTATATTCATATATGAAGTTGCTGTGTTTGAACAGTTAGTACTCTCGGGGGAGTACATGAAGACTGCAAGGTTGTTATCACTTCACCAGTTCCTGTGATGTTGCTTTGCTGTCTTTGGAGGGAAATTATAACTGCAGTGCTCCTTGAAAAACAAACAAACAAAAACACCTGAGAAGTAAAAACTCTCCATCTAAATGAAGAAAAAACAAAAAGAAAGAAAGAAAAATGGGAATTCAGTTAGTTTTAGTAACTAACTAACTCTAATTATGTGAGCTGGAATCTGTCTTGTGTGGCTAGAATGTGCTAGCAACTCCACTGTCTGAGGTGTCCGCTTTAGCAACTGGCTGCATATATATTTGTGGAAGAGAATCTGAAATTAATCCCTACCATTTTTTGTCTGCAGGTCAAAAGTATC